AGTAATCGATCCCAGGTGACCAGTGGCACTGTTCTCGCTTCAGACCGGTCTTCATCTTCAAGTGACCACCAATGTGGAAGGATAGACATTATGAAGGGGTACTGAATTGCGGTGCCAGTTGGTTCAAAGAATACGGAGAAGCCACCAGGTTTCAACAGTCCGCGAAGTCTCGAGAGGGATTCACGAAGGGGAAGAGGCAGAGGTGTTAGGCCGACCGCAATGATAAGGTCGAACGAGCCAACCTTGAAACCTTGAGATTCAAGGTCATCGTTCAAATTCAGGTCCTTTGTCAAAATACCACTGGGTAGAGCACCGTGTACATCCGCCAAGTAGTCCGGTGAGGCGGAAGATGTATGGGCAACAGTGTAGCTCGAGAAAGCATCGTCCAGTTCCTGAAGAATGGACCCTGTAACCCGTCCCGCGTACGCACCGATCTCCAAGATAGACATCCGAGGATGCTTGTGAGCGATCTGCTTGGCGACTGAGCCAAGTTGGCGATAACCCAGCTCTAATGTCGATCCTTTTCCAAGGGCTTGGTCAAAGATCGCTGCAATATGGTCGTCCGCCAAATTCGCATCGCCGCTCACAATAGCCGGGAGTCTCTCTCCGATCGCCTTGCTCAATCTCAGATCATGATTATCGGGATCTTGCCTGACAAGATCAGCGATGTCATTCTCGGTATCGCTTGCCCATGCCAAGTTCTCAGAGGCACTGCCACCTGAGCTCTGAGAGGAGAGAGAGCTTGCAAATCGAAGGAGGTTTTTATATTCTGGCATAACACGCGGTACTGTGCCCTCCCTGCTTAGCTCTCTCAGGTAGAAATGAGCAACGCGCTTGCTTGCGTCCGTGGGCGCCTGCTTCTCAGAGATTTCAAGGCTGCTGCGACTAGCACTGAGACCGCTCAGGATGTCCAGGTTCCAACGGTCTTCGAGGAATAGCTTGCGGTCGTCACTTTCCGAGCCAGGAGCAAAAGAACTGACCAACAATTCCTCAATCAAGACTTGCATCTTTCCAGACTTTTCATTAAATACGTAAAGGTCACCATTAATGGCAGGCATTTGGAAAGTGTTCGCGGTCACAATATTGGTCACAACGGCGTCGACGGTGACACTGGACTGAGCGTCGATATTGGCCTGACACTCAGGGACAGCCAGGACAATGCGGCCAAATTTCTGAGGAAGGAATGATGTTCGAAGCGATCCGTCATCTGGTGAAGCATATGCGGCAAATATCGCCTGGAAACAAACATCCAGCGTGATAGGGTGGATAAGGAACGACGCACTGTCCTCTCCTGGAGCGCCAATACGGATGGTAGAATTGTGAAGCCGGCGCTGCGCAGCTTGAATACCACGGAACGATCCGGTGTAGTTGAGACCAATGCTCGTCATTTGTTCATAGAAGTCATCGACGTCCATGGGGTAGAGAATGGGACGAACCTTGCTCCTAGCTGGAAGACCAGCGTCCTGTGACCGGCCCACAAAGACAGACAGCTTCCCTGTAAAGATTTTCTTGATCGGTCCCGAACCATCAGCGGGACCTGAAAAGCAGGCGTATTCTGCACGAATGACACCCTTGTCTGCCCCCTCCGTAGATTCAGTTTGGTGGAGAGTGAAGAGTACCTCCGCCCCAGGCGGACCATCTGGAAGGGTGATGGCATTCTCGATCTCCAGATCAGTAATTTCGATGGTCTCAACTGGAAGGCCTTTGCTGAGTGATTGCGCCGCGCTCACGGCCATCACACAGTAAGCAGCGGCTGGAACAATGATCTGGCCCTGGAAGCGATGATCGCGAAGCCACGGCACCTCATCTCCTCGAAGAATATTGCGCCAGCGAGGTGCATGCTCAACATCACCAGGGAGCCTGGTACCCAGAAGTTCATGAAATGGGGGTCGGCCTCGGTATTGCTTGGACAGGCGCCCCTCCCTCCAATGGACCTGGTTGTGCTCCCACTGATAGGATGGTAGATTCCTCGGGATGGGGAAAGGATGTGGGACATCTTCACCCATGGCTGTTGCGAAGCCCTTGAAGTCAATGGCACCTGCAGGAAGATGTGTCCACAAGAATCCCAAAAGACTGCCAAAGGAAACCACATCGTCCTTGCCCCGGTGCAGCGCTCCTTGGTAAGGCCGTGCGCTACCAGACACTTCCTTGATGGTTTGCGTTGCAGGCCCTTTGAGCGTAGCATGGGGCCCAGCCTCGATGCAAATATCAAAAGGGCCACGCCTATCATAAGCAGCCTGCACAGCCTCAGAGAAGAGGACTGGGTTGGCCATGTTGTCTCGCCAGTATGTGCCTGAAAGCTCCTCTTTTCTGGGCCGTCCATTATCGCTGTAGACGCTAGAGAGCCACGCACAACCGGGCTTGGATGACTGTGAATGGATTGGGACGGCAGTCAATGCTTCGAGATAGGGTTCTGAGCAAGGCTGCATATGCGGACTGTGGTATGCGGTGTCCACCTTCAGTGCCCGAGCAAACTTGCCATCGGCATCAAGAGCAGTCTTGGCAGCCAGGATGACATCAAGATCTCCAGACAGTGTGACACTGGATGGCGAGTTACTCGCAGCTACTACAATGTGGCCTTTGAAGGCAGGGCGATCACAAAATTTCCGTGCCTCTTCAAAGCTAAGACCGGCAGCCAGCATTCCACCCTTTTGACCATCCGATCCCCTTGCAAGGTTGGCAAAGTAGCCACGATAATAGGCGATTCGAATAGCTTCGTGGGCTGTTATGCACCCGCTGGTGTAGGCTGCCGCAATCTCACCGGAAGAGTGGCCCACTACTGTATGGAAGGAGACTCCAGCGGCATGCAACAGATTCACTGTCGCAACCTGCACCGCCGTGCACAACGGCTGAGATAAAGCAGCTTCTTCCAGGCGAGATGTTTTTGGAGACGCCATGATCTCCTTTTTCAAAGACCATGAAGGCGGATGTGGCAGTTCAGACAGATGTTGTTCTAAGTCCTCAATTGTCTTTCGGAAGAGCTGCGAATGAAGAATCAGGGCCCGGCCCATGGTGGCCCATTGAGCGCCTTGGCCGGTGAAAACGCCCAGAATACGAGGTCCAGCCTCAAGGTCTAGGATTTTCAGCCGTGTGCCGGCGTCACGTCCACGTTCAATGGCAGCGTCCATCTGCGCGATAACATCCTTCTGGGAGCCGGGCGAAAAGGCAATTCTGACAGGGAACACGCTACGACGTTCAAGCAATGCCCATGCAAGGCTCTTCAGATCAACCGAGTCGTTTGTCTTCAAGTACTCTGAATATGCTTGGATCATACCGAGGAGGGATTGTTCGGTATGGGCAGACAGGACGATTGGGAGCGAAAGTGGACGCTCGGTGACAGCCGCGCTCACGGTTAGCTCTCCCTCTTGCAGCAACTTGTCATGAATAGATGGGTTATGAATAGCCGGGTCATAATGCTCAAGAATAACATGGCTATTGGTGCCGCCAAAGCCAAAGGAGTTGATGCTTGCTCGTCGGGGAGTGCCTTCTGCTGTCGCAGGCCATTTGCGTGGCGCTGTTGGAATCTCCAAGTGCGTATACCAAGGCTTGACACCCGGGTTAAGCGACTCAAAATGCTGATTGGGAGGAACAATGCCATTTTGCATGGCAAGCATAGCTTTCAACACTCCAGCCACTCCAGCGGCTCCCTCCGTGTGACCAACCACGGTCTTGATAGACCCGACAAGTAGCTTGCCTGGGTCAACACTTTGCTCATTGAAAAATGCTCGACTGATGGCAGATGCTTCCAGGGGGTCACCTGCAGGGGTGCCGGTGCCGTGAGCCTCAAAGTACTGGCATCTCTGGTCCGGCCGGAGGGGGTCCAACCCAGCCTTTGCGTAAGTAGCACGAATCAAGGCCAGCTGAGCCTCATTACTCGGCATGGTAATACCCCGTGTACGACCATCCGAATTCACGCCGGTTTCCCGGATAATACCCTCGATATGATCTCCATCAGCCAATGCACTGGACAGGGTCTTGAGAAACACAGCCGCAATGCCTTCACCACGAGCATATCCATCAGCCTTGGCATCCCACATCTGGGACCATCCAGAGGGAGAAAGCATGTGTAAATTGGACTCTGCCTGATAGTTCTCCGGACTGAGAAGCAGATTGGCACCAGCTGCACATGCCGTTGTACTCTCACCGGATCGGAGGCTTTGAACGGCCTGATGAATCGCCACCAGGCTGGACGAACATGCCGTGTCGATGGTCATGGAAGGCCCTTTCCAATCATAGAAGTAGGACACACGATTCGAGATGATCGCGCGAGATGCGCCGGTGGCAATATATTGTGGGAGGTAGTCAGGGTCACGGACTTGGATGTCGTGGAAATCATTGCACATCAGTCCCACATAAACGGATGTCTCGCTTCCTTCCATTCCTTTCAGAGTTAGACCGGCAGATTCCATGGCCTCATACACAGTCTCCAGGAGAAGCCTCTGCTGTGGGTCGATCGCCTCCGCCTCTTTCGGGGTGGTGTTGAAAAAGGTTGCATCGAACAGTCGGTGGTCTTCCTCCAGGAAATAAGAGTTTGTGACATTGGTTGTCGTATGGTGCTCCGGGTTGGGATGATAGAAGCCATCCCCATTGAAACGAGTTGTTGGAGGCTTTCTAGAAAGATCGCGAGGGTGGTGCAATAGATCCCATAGCTTAGATGGGGAGGAGGCACCGCCAGGAAATCGACAGGCAGCGCCAATGATGGCGATAGGTTCATTACCAACAGCCATTTTGGTCTATAATTTGTCTACACCTCTAAAACAGACGACGAAGAGGTTTTGAAAATGAGTATATTGATCATATTCTGCCCGCATACCTTGCACATCGTCATATAGGTCTATCTCATGAAGTGGCCGGATAAAACTGATATTGGCCCCCACGACACATCGCCGAAGCAGAGCCTACCAACAAGATAGCCTTAGCTGTTTGAATCCAGAGAAGTCCCGGCGGAAAAAGAGGCTATTCTCCATGTGCCGCAGAAGCAACACAAGGGACGCCGATCACCTCCCCAGGTGTGAATCCTGAGACCGCCGATTACGGCGTATTCCTGAGACAAGCCTCCCCTCTTGGCTCTCAGTGAGTCTGAGAAAGTCCGAAATACGTGATCTCCAAAATGAGGAAGGTGGCCGACTTGGAGGATCTCCTCGGTAATCAGCACGGCGTGCTGGTGGAGGGTCGGAGATGAGAAAGTAAGCGCTAAGGGTACGAAGCAAGACATCTGTCACAATATAGAAGGAAGGATTCATGCGTATGTATCCATTCGACAAACACCCTCCATGAGACAAAAGATGCCATCACAGTACGCCATAGTGGCAGAGGGCCCCGGCCGGGTCCGGCTGGAGTCCAACGTCGAAATACCTCAGCCAGGAGAAGATGAAGTCTTAGTCAAAGTTCATTCGATTGCCCTCAACCCGGTGGACTGGAAGACCTTGGCCTACTCCAGTACCCCAGGGGCTATCAGCGGGTGCGACTTTTCCGGGACTGTGGCAGGTCCTGTTGGTCCCAAATGCAAACGAGCACTGAATGAAGGGGAACGAGTGTGTGGATGGATCATGGGTGCGAATCCTCTCCGCCCGTCGAACGGATCCTTTGCCGAATACCTTGTGGCAAAGGCCGACCTGCTCTATCGAATCCCAGACAATATTTCGTTTGAGAGCGCGGCAACCATTGGAATCGGTGCGACAACTGGTGGGCTCTCCTTGTTCAAAACCCTCGGTCTTTCCTTTGCCGAACGCAAGGTGACGCCTTCATCGCCGTCCGTGCTTGTGTACGGAGGAGCATCCTCATCAGGTGTCATTGCCATCCAACTTCTGCGGATGGCTGGATATCGTGTCATCGCCGTCTGTTCGCCCAAGAACTTCGGCTTAGTCAAAGATCTCGGCGCAGAAGTGGCATTTGATTATCACTCGGACACGTGCGGCAAGGATATACGCACGTACACGCAGGATGAGCTTGGCTATGCGCTAGACTGCATCTCAAGCACGAGCAGCATGGGTATCTGCTACGACGCGTTGCGGAGTCAACCGGGGGCGCGGTACGTCTCGCTTGACCCATTCCCCGACCGCGTGCAACGCCTCCGACCAGACATCCATGCAGAATGGATTCTCGCGTTCACGGTGACCGGCGAAGAGGTGGGGCTTGGTGGCGCCTTCCACCGGGATCCAACGCCTGAGGATTATGAGTTCGGGGTTTCATGGTGTCCGAAGATTGACAGGCTGCTCGAAGAGGGTAAGCTTCATCCGCAGCAGCCCACTATCGTGGAAGGGGGGTTGGCCGGGGTGTCCGATGGCCTTGAGAGGCTAAAGAGGGGCGAAGTGCATGCGTCCAAGTTGGTATATGTGGTTGGACAGGGGTAATCCGGGAATTTGTTAGGAGAACAGGGGGGGGGTTCGGGAAATTGATTGAATGACAAACATACATACATGACCGGCTAAACTCTTCTCAGTCATTTTCAAACAACAAGTAGAACTAGATTATTATTTTGAAACTCGTATTCTGCATGCAACTTGAAACTTAAAGCCGTGGTCAAACTCAATCTATTAACAGCCGAATTACAGCACAGATGTTCTTCAGGGTCTCCGCACGTGTTGTTCCATGACATGTTTATATTGTTTGCGTGCTCTAATCAACCTCACTCTGAACAAACGAGAATGCCCTTGGCTAGTAATTGCATCAACCTATAAACAAAACCCATTCCATCTCACTTCAGATATTCCTGCCCCCATTTGCCACCATGATACACGTTCTCCACCCACATTGTGTCAGAAATTAGAATGCGACCTCGCCGCGCAAAGGCCTGCTGCCTGCACCTTACGGGAAACGCACTGCAGACAACACGGCACAGAAGTACATGATCCAGCCGGGTCCATCAACCGTCAGCATGCGGATGAAGTTCATAGCGAGCCACTCGTGTGTCGCCTGGGTGTTTTTCGAGCCCGGCTCTTCCTTCTCGCAGATCCGTGCGATGATCTTCATCGCTCCCGGGCCGTAGAGAAAATGCCCCGCGGAGAACACCATTCCAGCCCAGTAGAAGTACTTCGTGATGGGGTCGAGTGTGGCCCCGTATTTCCACGTATTGATCAGCGCTGTTCCAAATGCAAGCGGATACGAGGCGCCCACAACGGCGATGGTGCGATCGAAGAAGCCCGGGAACCAATGTGGGAGAACAGGTCCACCGGCTTTAGCGAGAGCAGGCTGCGCGAAGGGTCGGATTGCGGTGGTTTGGTCAATTCCGCACATCACGGACGCGGTTGAGATGACCAGAGGGGCCAGTCTCAGGAGATTGAGGCCGAGGTTCAGGTCTGTGGTTGTCATGGCGCTGGATATTTTTGGTTGCTTGGAGGCTGTTGGCTGTCCTGGTTTGCGTGCAGTCTCCCAAGGCTCGTGGCTGTAGTTATACAACCTCGATATTCCATCTGTCTCTCCTTCAATCATACGACAACATACGACCATTGATTTCGGCGATCCTATGCATCGGACCCGAATGTTTCGGCGACGTTGGATGCCGAATCGCCTGTAAGACTACGATCGAACAGTAAGCACAAGTAAAAACCAACACAAGCTCAACTTAGTCAACTCCGCTGGATGTCGATATGTAATGCACCACGCCACCCCTACAGATTCCCAGTCTCAAGCGTGGGCTCATTTCGAAAATGTACCAGTTCTTCAAAGACGGCTTCTTCAACTTCGAACTCGTCCGACTACTTGGATCTGCAACCTTTGGCGGATGCGAGATCGGCGAGGCCCTCGATGTCCTCCCTCTCATCAAAGAGCAAGACCCGAACAGTTGGTACAATGCATGGACAAAAGCCGGATCCCGAGCAGAAACCCTAGCCAAAGAGGCTGAGCTACAAGGAAATCAAGTAGCCCGCCGCAATGCGCTGCTCCGATCTGCGAACTATTTTCGCGCCGCTCAATTCATGCTCAACACGCGACCAGATGACCGCATTCTCGAAACAGCGGAGCATTCGATCCAGAACTTCAAAAAAGCCACTCATCTCCTGGACGGACCTGTCTACGAAGTGGACATCCCATACGAGGGCATTCATCTGCCCGGCTACCTCTACTTGCCCCCAACCTCTAAGCGCTTACGAGATGCCAAGACTCCTGTCTTGATCAGTACTGGAGGTCTGGACTCGACCGTTGAGGAGCTGTATTTTATTGGCGGGGCCTCAGGACCCGAGTTGGGATATGCCGTGCTGACATTCGAAGGCCCCGGTCAGGGCATTGTATTGCGCCGCGAGGCCCACTCATACATGCGACCTGATTGGGAGGTTGTCACCGGGGCCGTGGTGGACTTTCTCTACGGATTCGCGACGCAGCATCCCGATCTGGAGCTCGATCTGACTCGCATTGCGCTCCATGGCGCCACGTTGGGAGGGTATTACGCACTGAGAGGTGCAGCCGATCCCCGCATCTCCGCCTGTATCGCGGTCGACCCGTTCTATTCCATGTGGGAAGTTGCCATCACTCGCATGCCGGCTCCTTTTATCAAGGCCTGGACGTCGGGTTGGCTGGGCGATGGCATCTTTAACGGCACAATGAATATCCTGTCCCGGCTCAACTTCCAGATCAAATGGGAGATGAACCAGGTAAAGTGGGCCATGGGTATGAAGACCCCTGCGGATGCCATGCGACGTATGCAGGACTTCACTCTCCGGACTGCAGATGGTGGGGAGTACCTTGATCGGGTCAAGTGCCCTGTCATGGTCACGGGTGCTGCGGCGTCCATCTACGCCACCGAGGACCCCAGCGCGAACAAGGTGTTTGCCCGGTTGGCGCATCTTCCCGACGAGCGTAAGCGTCTGTGGGTTGGCAAGGAAGTGTCTGACGGCGGGCTGCAGGCCAAGGTTGGCATTTTTGGCTTAGCGCAGCATCGTGTGTTCGCTTTCCTGGATGAGCAGTTTGGGATCCATCGAAGTGTATAACCGTCTGGGTATGTCGGAGGTACAAAGCAACCTGGGAAATTTGCAACGTATTAAATTAGTATTATCGGAATAACGTAGTCGACTATGAAGACAATCCATGCAATCCAAGCAATTCACAAGCGCACCACACAAACACCGAATCATTCTTCTCCAATTCTCCTTCCCTTAGTCAATTTTTTTTAACTATCTATTGGTACCTCCGACGCAAATTGTCCCCACCCCACTGTCTACGCTGCAACACCCCCTTCACTATCTTTCTCCTTCTTCGGATCCACGATCCCATACTCCGTCTCCAACTCCGTACGCAACTTGAGCTGCTTCTCAAACCAGACGATAATAAATCCCAGGGCCGCAAAAGCGAGCGAAACCTGCCAAACCAGCTTAAGCGTATCCGAGTACACGCTGATGACTTCATCCCGAACCTGAGGCTCAAGAGACTTGATGAAAGTCGCCGAGACATGAGAGTAAGCCTCGCCGCCGGCCAGCTGCGCCGCAACAGCAGGGTCCGAGATGCGACTGGACAAGCGCCCAAATTGCGTGTTGAAAATCGCAGCCGGGATGGAAATGCCCCAGATAGCGCCGTAGCTGCGAATAAACGCCCAGGTGGCGGTGGCCAGGCCCACGTCCTTCTCTTCCAAGGGAACCTGCACCGCGGCCAGGGTCGTCGTGAGCAGGAGGCCGAGCCCGATGGCGGTGATGATCTGGTAGATGATCCATTCGGCATCACTTGAATCGGCATCGAGGCGGGTAAAGAGGCCCAGCCCTAACAGGGCCAGACCCATGCCCACGGCGTGCATGGGCTGGTAGCGGCCCCATTTGGTGAGGATGATACCTGCGGCCATAGCGGTGGGTACTGCAAGGATTACACTGGGCAAGAACTGCACACCGGCGCGAGTCGAGCTCGACAGCTTGACCGACTGGAAGTACACGGGGATGAAGTAGACCACCCAGAAGGTGAGCATGTTGTGGATGAAGGATAGTATCAGTGCGGAGAAGGAGGTCCGGTTGCCGAAGATGTGTGGTGGCATCATGGGCTCTACGCACCACGGGCTGGCCTCGTATAGATGGAAGGCTATCATGCCGACGAATCCGAGCACCAGGCAAATGATGATGCGCCAGTTGGACCAGGGGTAGGCGGTACCGCCCCAGGTGAGAGCGAGCAGGATGGAAACGATGGAGGTCATGAGTAGCGCATTGCCGATATAATCAATTCGCTTGAGCTTTTTCTGCCAGGGCTCTTTCTGGTAGTTGACATGGAGGAAGAAGAACAAACAGACGAGTGCGGTTCCGCCAATCGGGAGGTTCAGATAGAACTGTGAGTTTTGTGAGCCAAACACGTCCCATCAGGTATCAGTATCAAGCAAGCACTTACCACCCATCGCCAGGAGCTATGTTGTACCAGAGCACCTCCGATAAACGGACCGAGGGAGGTGCCAATGGAGAACACGGCGAAGATCATCCCCATAAAGTTTCCTCTTTCACGCAATGGGAGGAGGTCGCTGACAATCATATCGATCATCACGTTGATACCACCTCCACCAATTCCTTGGATTGTCCGCCCGGCAATCATCATGGCAGAGTTGATGGCACCGCCGCTGATACCACTGCCGAGGACGAAGAAGGCCACAGCGCCGATCATCAGCCATCGTCGTCCGAAGAGGTCCGCAGTCTGTCCAAAGAGGGGTTGGAAGCAAGCACTTGGAAAAGGTTAGTCTCATCCACCGCAGGGCCTCTGCAGGAGAACGGGCTTACCTCGTGAGGAAGAATGAGTTGACAAACCAAACATAGTCCTCGCCCGCACGCAATTCATCCGAGATGAACGGCAATGCGGTTGACGTGACCGTCGACTCCACGGCAGCTAGCAGGATTGACACGCAAAGTGAGATATAGATCGCCCAGAAGCGCCATCCCTTCCCCTGCTTCTTTTCGACGGGCTGTATGGCAGTGTCCGAGGTGTCCGACATTGTACCGGTTCGTGTATAGTACAGAATCGAGAATCGAGCAAGCCGAAGCGGCTGTCTCGCGCGCAGAAAAAGGACATGATCGAAAAGAGATTTCTAAGAATTGGGTGGTGCATTTGTCAACATGGCCGACGCCGAATTGAAGTTCGGTGATGTTTCTTTCAGATCACATATACGAACATTTCGGGCCTCTGATTGGTCCAAGGTCACCGAATTCATCCATGCTATGGACACGGCAGTTGTCGCTATATACACGCACTTCCTTGAGATCTTCCGTACTTTTTCGCTGGATTAGCAAGCACCGGTTCCTGCGAGCGCTTTTAACGCCACCAGGATGGCTACCCATGGCGGGCCGTAAGCACTATCGTAGCCGAGCCAGAGGTGTAGACCACCTGTGCATGACCATTGATAGAAAATGGCGCCTGTCATAATGCGAATTTCTCAGCCACAAGTCACGCCATATCCCATATAGATAGACTGCATAAATATAGTACATCCTTTTGAAGAGTTTTTGAGTTTCGTCAGTTGCAGACTTTCCTATATAAATTACGAAAAGTACTATATTAGAATTCCAGGATATGATCATTTTCCTGATAGGGGATAGTATCTTCTTCATGAATCTCTAGATCCATGTCTGTATACGAATATAAATACGAGATTCTAGATAGCTCGTACCTGCCGTTGAGGAGGTGACGAAGATCACCCAAAGCCACTAGGATATTCTGCCGGAGATACAAGCCGCAACCGCTTACCTGAGCTTTGCTAGTTCTTATGTACAATAAGCACCAAAGCCGCCCAGCTCCGCGTCATTCGTGGAAAGGTCAGCCCGGAGATCGCCAACCAGTCCAATCTGCGGGCCCAACCCAATCTCATGGCGAGGCCCCCAGTATGATTGAACACGAGTGACGCAAAAGAACAAGCAGCAAATAAATGGCACTTGTTCGATCGCAACTAAACCTGGACATACAAATATAACAGGGACCAGGTCAGAAATGCAAGTTCCATGTGTCACTGGGTAGCAGGGTTTCCCAAGGCAAACAACCGTTCTTTGTAAGAGCCGCATCATCTCTTAGGCTCTTTCTTTCCCCGCCTCTCCCAACATCTCCCCCCCCACACGTGCCCGAAGAATCTCGACGTCGGGCCCCGGAGAATGTATGAACCACCGTCACGGCAAGCCTGCGATCGCTGCCACGATCTCAAATTGCGATGTCACCGGAACGATGCAGGGAAATGTAGCCGTTGTCAGAGAGCTGGCGCCAGCTGTGTGTTCAGTCCCTCCAATCGCGGTCGCCGACCGAACCATCAACTTCGCCGATCCGACTCCCAAACATCCAAATGGATGAGCGACGGACAGTCGAATGTAAAATTAGCACCTCAAATAGCACAGCGCCTGAGACCACATTTGGCCAACTTGGACGCACAGAACCAGTTGAGTACTCCGGATCCCTCTGGGATATGTGGGCTGGAGAGCGCCAACCACTCGTACCGGGGTCGCCAATACCCGGAAGATGACTGCCAGGAGCAGCCTCACACTATAAATGCCGAGAATACACCACTTACCACTGCCGGGCCGTCGCTACCGGACCTATGTATCGGCGTAGATCCCAGCGTCACAATACCGGAAGGCTTTCCACGGTCGCTGAGTCTTTCGGACGCACCCATGGATTCTGATGTCTTTGCTCGCTTCACTCGTCCAAGCGAGGCAACCCTCACTCCGATCACTGATACCCACCTCTCTTTCCTTGAGCCCTTCTCGGGACTGGGTGTGCCGGAGACTGTTCCCCCAGAAAATGGTGCTGGCCCAACCCGGCATTTGGACCTGTCACAAGCAGCTGATGGCGGTCGCAAGGTCGGTCCACAGACGCGTTTTCTACAGCAGTTTATGGAAGACCTCTTGGAGCTCGATATAGACTTGATCCGGCACACCTTAGAGGATCCTGTTGTATTCGATTCCACTTCAATGAACACAAACCCGGGCGGAAATGGTAGCACTACTCCCACCTCTGACTGCGCGATTGACACGACTTTCGTTCTCACCCAACGTTTCATTAACCTTCTGCGTCGCGGGGGCAACTGGACTGCCCAGACCAATACTGCACCGAACTCGCAATGGAAATCGCCGCTGGTTGGATCATCCTCATTTTCCTCACGGTTCCAGCAGATGATCATCAAAGCCACCCCCCAGAGCACCCCCGGCTTTTCAGAGATCGACTCTCAGCAGCCGGAGACGGCCCTCGACCAAGCATCACTACTACACGCTCTATCTACTTACCTGCGGCTCATCGAAACGTACCACATCACGTTCTCGCAAACCGCCGACAAATTTGGCACTGCCCTGGCTGAGGGCTCAGCTATTCCACTCCCCTCGTTGCAGATCGGTGCCTTCGCCATGGACGATCCCGCAGGGCACATCGTATTGGTGATTCAATCGGCGTTACAATTGCTCGATCGCCTGGGAGACCTGGTGAACAAGCTCACGGCCCCTTTCTTGGCCGAGGAGATGGGGGATATCGACGTCAGTCGGCCCCCAAGTCCTCCCAACGGCCACAACGCCGTCAAGATGATCATGGTGGCGGTTCGCGAACGCGAAAGCCAATTCATGCAGGTAGCAGCACGGCTGCAGAGCTGCTGTCGCGAGGTCCAGCGGTTGCGCGGCTAACGCTCGCAATGACGAATATTAAACGATGTAACCCAAGAAAGCTAGAACCGGTGCAGCCATCATGACTTCTCGTGTTTCAGCTACTAGAGCAAACGCGGTGTATGGGTGGAGCCCATTATGTCTATACGAAGATGATAAGATGAAAATAGCAGTAGATTATAAACGTTCGTATTCTGCCGGCGCTGCGTCCAACTTTTAATCGGCCATGGGGTCACCGAATCGGCGAACTTCACATCGGACCGTAGCGATCAGCCAAGACTCGGCGTCCGTGCAAGATGCAGGGAATCATAAATAGGACAACCCATGCAGCAGACTCTGTATGAGCCCAAGACCCTGTCATTTCTCCTCCTCCTCCACCCCGCAATTTCAACCATCATGGCCCCGCAACGTCTGCTCAAGTTAACACTTGCCCACTACCGCAACCCAGACTCTTCTGAAGAAGAATGCCACCGCTTCCTGACCGAGGAGTATATCCCCAAAGTCATCGAGATCCTTCAACGGCATAAGCTGGAGACATATAGCTATGTGAGGCTCCCTCCCGCAAGCACTCTCACCCCTGCTCTTTTCAGCACCCCCAAGCAAAACCACAAGAGAAAGCTCACAGAACTAGCACTTCACCCCCAGCCCGGTACAGAACGTGCTGCGCGCCGCAAGCGAGCGTCTCCAGAATGGCTGGACCGTCGACGACCACGACCTCACGGTGGAGTTCTACTTCCGCGAGATCGCAGGCCTGGTGACGGTGTCGACGGACCCAGACTTCATTGCTCTGAAGTCCATTGAAGGGCCATTTATTAGTCAGAAGGGGGTTGTGGCCCGGTTGGGATGGGTGGAGACCTATGTTGCCGATGAGCAGGCGGTTAATTTGATAGACGGGAAGTCGCAGTATGAGAGCTTTGAGCAGGCGTCTGCTATTCAGCTCGCGCTTTGAGTCTATTGCTTTGCATAGAAGATATAGCAGGCCTACTTGATTACTACTAGCATTGTTTTACTCTCTGTTCATACACACTTTTAGTCCGTAGATGGTGTCCGCCAAGGAATCTTGGGTTTTCACGTCAGCCTGGACAAGCTTCTAAACCAAGAGTTTGTTGTCTGGCTAGTTAGCTTAGCTAGTTTAGAGTTAGGGTTTCTGGTATCCGAACATCTGGTTTGAATCTAAATGGCGGACGGCAAGAAGATCGCTGGCGCCACATCGGGATCTCCGTTAACTAAGTGATCCTTCACATCAAGGCGCCAAGGCATAGACAAATACGTCCGTTATACAGAAGATCTACGACCTATAGCCACTTCAGTCCCTATAACAACTACCTACGTAGTCGATATCGTTACCAAGTATAGCTATCTTACCGCGCCCGCGAGTTTCCATCTTCGGCATCCCGAAAAGGTCATAACCAAAGCATGTTTCCCCATCCAAAGGAGTTGTCTAACGACAGGACTCCATGATGCTGTGTGAGATATCGCGTCCGGACATGACCCCAGATCAAGTGATGAGTCAAGGTTTGAGGATGAACAGAAAGCCATTCTGGCCCAGTTTGGTGCATCAGTGTCCTACGCCTTTGCGTCTGGCTCTGGCGTATACGCGCAAGGCCCCAGGCGGTCATCTTCAGGTTTTATAATCCATGCTGATCCTCCCAGAGCAATCACGAGAATGAAAGACGGCCATCAGAATGGTAGATCTCTAGAGATAGAAATCTGTCTCAAGGAGCAGTCTCCAATTCAAGAGACAATCCTGGCCATCTCACTGTGGCTATTACCCGGGTAAGTTCCCACCTGTGTCATCTGTTCGCGGGATGTTCTTTATTGTCGCCGTCCTTTCTGTGGGCTCGTTGAGTAGACCTTACTAATCAATCAGCAATGTCATGGTTCTATCCCCTATAGGAACGCAGACTACGGCACAAAGCAAATTTCATAACTGAAGACTGTCTATATCTGAAGATGCCAGTAGATAGAGGGTTTTATAGAAAAGCCTTTGCATTCACATAACAGTCAAGGGAAACCTAACTAAATAGGGAAAACCTTGCCCAAGGCAAATGTAATACATTCTCGAAGCCGAAGACCGAATTCTTTCGCGATTCCGTGGGTCGCGATATATTCGCCACAAATAGGCTTGGATAATTCGGCCATGCTAGACAAATGTGTCAGTGGATGATAACTATAATGTGATTTTCAGGCTTCAGTTCTTACAGCGACGAGGCTTTGCCAGTACTGCAGTACTATGCAGGTCGCACACGAGGTGTTTACTAGATTGGTGATTAGTAGATCTCTCATGCGGGAGGGGAGTAAGCACATACACGCTGTCCTATTTGTCAGTCGGGATATCCTAAAGTCATCTGGCTCATCTCTTGAGTAGAAGAGTTAAGCACTCACACACTATTCATATCCCATCTCTGTTAGTCTAGACATCTTCATGTTATCTCTTCAACGGGAAGGGATGAACCACATACTTCCTATCCATATCGCAACTCTGTCAGCCTGTATATCCTCCAGTCATCTTGTAAGTATAAAAAGCTTCAGCACTCACAGCCTATCCATATCCCATCCGTCAGCCTAGATATCCTCAAGTCATGTCTTAAGCAGGAAGGGTTAAGTACTTACATTGCACTATCCACATTCCACATGTCAGCTGGATATTCTCAAGTCATCTGACTCATCTCTTGAGTATAGAGGGACTAGGCACATACTTCCTATTCATATCCCATTTTTGTTAGCCTAGATGTCCTCATTTCCAGTCACCTCTCAAACAAAGGGGGTTAAACACATACGACCTATCCATATTCCATCTTTGTCAGCCTGGACAGACTCAAGCCATCTACTCATCTCTTGGGACTAAGCACTCACACACTATTCATATCTCGTCTGTCAGCCTGGCTCTAGATATCCGCAAGTTATCTTTTGAGTGGAAAGGGGTTAAACACATACAGCCTATACATATCCCATCAGGCCATCGGTCAGTCTATAAATCCTCAAGTTATCTCTAAAGCAGGAGGACATACTTCCTATCCGTATCCCATCTCTGTTAGCCTAGGCCCTATTATCTCACGTTATGTGGTCACACAGCAAGGGGTTCAACACATACTTCCTATTCATATCCCATCTCTGTTAGTCTATATATCCTCATGTTATCTCTCAAGCAGGACGAGATAGAGTACATACAATCTATCCATATCGCATCTCTGTCAGTCTAGATATTCTTATGTTATCTCTCAAAGAGGAAGGGATGGAGAACATACAAGTTGCTAATATTCCATTTCTGTCAGTCTATATATCCTCAAATCATCTCTCAAGTAGAAAGGGATTGAGCACATACATCCTGTGCATGTCCCATGGCTGTCAGTCTACATATCTTCACATCAACTGTCCAGTTAAACGGGATTGAGCACACATACATCCTATCTCTGTCAGTCTAGCTCTAGATATCCTCACATGGTCTTTAAGCAGGGAGGGGTGGAGAACATACACACTACCCATATTCCATCTGTGTCAGCCTCGGCCCTGGGCATCCTCATGTTATCTCTCAAGCCAGGACAGGCAGGGTACGTACAGCCTATCCAAATTCCATTTGTATTAGTCTAGATCTTCTTGTATTATCCTTCAAGAAAGAGGATAAACACGTACATTCTATTTGTATTCTATCAGTTCATATATTCTCACTTCATCTCAGAACGTAGCAAAAAGGATTTAGTACTCACACACTAATTCATATTCCATCTGTATCAGCCTAGATATCCTTCTATTATCTCTGTTGTAAGAAAGGAGTAATGACATACAACCTATCCAATCCCATTTTCAGTTAGCCTTGATGTGCTCACTCCAAGTCATCTTTCAAACAGGAAGGGGAGGGTTAAACACATACGTCCTATCCACATTCCATCTATATCAGTCTGGGACATCCTCATATTATCTCTCTCACAAGCCGGAGGGGTTTAAGTATGCACATACATACTATCCCCATGCCATCTGTCAGCCTCTGTATATCATCATTAAGTAGAAGGAGGATCAAATACTCACACACTATCCATATCCCATCTTTGTCAGCCTAGATCCCCTCACGTTATCTCTCAGGGGACGAAGGAATTGAGCACATACATCCGGGTTTGCTGCCACAGCAAAAGCAGCCAGCATAAGGGTAGATAGGATAGCGATGAACTTCATTTTGCCGAAGGATTTTCGAGAGGTAGGACTCAAGAGATAAGTTTAGAAGAAATGGTTCGAAAGAGAGAAAATGTCGACGACTGAGATTTGGCTTGTAAAATTATGGTATCTAACAGCAGAGGAACAGACTGCTATATATACCAAGGATATCACTCAGATCAACATCAACACAACTCCGGAGTATAGCTGAGCAAGGCAAGGGACAGAATACAAGATATGATATATCCAGTCTCCGTCTCGCGTAAACTTAGTATCCACATAGTTATTTATCCGACAGTGCAGCTACGCCACAACCACATAAAATCGGTAAGGTCTAAGCATTCTCCACTGCAACTCAATCGGAAACTTTTTTTTTCTCCTATTGCGAATGCATCCGTGGAGAAAAAAGGAGAGCCGTCAGATTGTTGTTGCGGATAGGGATCTGTTCGGCCGAAGCGCTAAACCTTGGTGTGGAGATCAGCGGATCTACACAGTATGAGCCCCAGGATCGGTCCCTTGATGGCAACTCTTCATGATTCCTGCCCCCGCGATTCAGCTTCGACCATCGCCGCCTCTCTGGAAGTCACATCACGTTCACCAGAAATGGCTAGAAGTCGTGTACGGCGGTCGTCACACCGCTAGTATTTCAATTCTCGACACTCAGCGCTTGTGGTAGCGATCGCATAGTGTCCGACACTATCGAATGGAAAACTTTGTCTGATTTAGCCATCCGATAGAAATTAGCTGTCTAAGATACGGGTCGCCTCTGACACTCATACTATGACCTGCATACCAGAGCAAAGGAATGGACAGAAAGAAAGCATACCTATACTTTGGTAACACTGTACTAGGGCTGCTAGCTCAAGTGACTAACCTGTCATACTGGGTGCCTCAGGCACTACATATCCGCCACTTGAGTCTTCAGTCTTGACCAGACGCAAGCCCTGAAAAGCAGTTGAAACAATTCAAGCCGTTCAAGTAATCAACCATCTAAGTAATTACGCAGTTCAGCAGCTTCCTCATAGTACCTAGTTAGTAGGTAACTTAACTACCTAGTTATTGTATGGTGACATAATAGTGTTGAAGAACCAATCAGAACGCAGACAGTTTCATATAGCCCTGTGCTCCTTACTACTACAATGTAGTAGTACTCCTAGCATATTGTTTTAATACTTTGCTTTGCTTTGCTTTGCCCTCACGGTGTAATAAAATTACCAAGAACGAAGAACAAAGAGTGGCCCATGCTGCTTTATCTGCCTACTGTGACCACAGTGCACGTGCCCACCGTGTGTGGTAAATCCAGCTCTTCTATCTGCATATATATATATATAGCTTGAGTACTATGTACTAGTAGCTCTAACAGCCTCTGCGCTGAACTAGCACTCTAACATACACACCTTACAATCCCAAACTTAGTGTCTTATAACACAGAATATCGCCCTATACAACTATATTAACTATCCCACCACTAATCCAATCCAAACCCTCTCCAAAGAAAGCTGAAGAACGCCGACTCGGGGACCCATACCACACCAACCCCACCAAAATAAACGGCGATCAAAATCGCACATCCCCAAAAGGATGACTAAGGCGGCAATCTTCCGACTCTTTAAATACCCCGGAGTCTTCAACCAGAGCTACTACAACAAACCTACTACATTAGTACTCTATATAATTCCCGTTCTACATTCCCTGCAGAACATCTACATATCTGAAAACAACCAAATACCCAACTTCAAAGATGTGCATGAAAGCGACTTGTTCTACCTGCCGTATGTCTCACTTCTATTTTTTTCTTTCGTTCTTTCTTTTATGTTTGACGGGGTTGATTGGGGTTGAATGATTGCATGGTTTTCTAACTGATATAGATAAAACTTCCTGGTGGGGTTGCGGGGCGCATATTCCCTCCGTCTTGGATGCGGTGCCCGAGAGTGAGCGCTGCACGTGTACGCCCAAGGTCGAGCGCGATGGCAAGGAGTATCCGCCTAAGGCCGAGAAGGCCTGACTAGCCGGTTGTATCATTTCTTGAGAGGGTGTTCGGGGGGAGTCAGTTGTGTTTTATGAGGGGATGGTGGGGGATTACTGGAGTCGGTGTGGGGTTCTTTGTACTTGTTTATACTTCATGGTTGAGAAAGAATATATTCTTTTTTATTTTTTAACTATTCTTTTAACTGAGTTAGGTGGACGGTGGTTACTATAAAACTACGCCTCAACTCGAGAGTGCCAGCATCCCGACCCCGAGACGTGAGCGTGCGTCTTGGGGGCTCTCTTGCCGAATGGTCTTATGCTGCGCGCGCGGCGGTGGAGGGCGGAGGTGGTGTTCCGCTTGGGGATCGAGGACAGGTCGTTGGCATAGGTGGCGACTGCGAAGGCCGTGGCCTTGGAGTTGATCAGGAAGGCGTCGTGGTTGAGGTTGGTCATGTTGTCTCCCGCGGCGTGGTAGTTGGCGTCGTACGCCACGCCGGCCGTGCCGCCCCAGCGGCTGGCGTTCTCCTCGGACATGATGCCCTCGGCACCCGTGAAGATTCCACCGGCGGGGATCCCGTTCAGGATAAAGGCCTCGTAGTCGGAACGTCCGTCGAATTGGGTCGGGATATGAGCCAAGTCCTTGGAGTCGAAGTAGTCTTCGAACAACTTCTCGATCTGGGCGGAACCGGCCGGTCCAGTCTGGTTGAACGCCGATCCATCACCGTCATAGATCATAAGGGCGTAGTTGGGCGACGCGATCATATCGAAGTTCAGGTACAGTCGGATCTTGTTCAGCTCGGTGGCATTCAGATGGGAGACGTAATAGTCGCTGCCCAACAGGCCGAACTCCTCGGCCGTCCAGAAGAGGAAGCGCACGGCATTCTTGACGGAGTACTTGGTCAGCGCTTTCGCAACGACCAGATTGCTAATGATGCCCGAGCCGTCGTCGTTGATCCCAGGGCCCGCCTCAACCGAGTCCGTGTGGCCACCCAGCGTGACCACATTGTTCGGATCGCCGCCCTTCGTCTGCGCGACCACGTTATACGTCGTACGGTTCTCCTGCTTGCTGTCCACCCAGAGATCCACCGACACCGATCCAGCCTCCGCAAGCTTGATCAGCTTCTGGCCATCCTCCAAGCTGATCCCGACAATGGCCGAATACGGACCCTTATCACTCACCGCCGCGCCCAGGGTGCCCGCCATGGAACCGGCCACGTTGTTATAGACAATCGACGCCGCGGCCTTGGCTTTGGCCGCGAGAACCGACTTGTCGCCGAACGGGCACTCCCCACGCTTGATGAGGGCGACCTTGCCGGCGACATCGGATGGGTAATCGGCCTCGGTACATCCCAGGTTCTTGACGACGGCCACATCGGCGGTAACCTCGACGCTGGGACTGTAGGTCATGGTCTTCGCCTCAATCTCCTCGTCGCCGACCTTGAGCGTCTGGTCGGCATTGCTCCACAGGTGGACCTGGGGCTGCTTGTAGACATCGTAGTAGCCCGTCTTCTTCAGCTCCTTGTAGAGGTAGTTGACGGTGTCGTCGTGGGCTTTACCACCAAAGACACGATTGCGCTCGGGGTAGGCATAGGCAAAGTCCTCGAGTTTCTGGGAACCCTCCAGCAGGTCTTTCAATTTAACATCCTCAGGGAACGTATCCTATGAACCATTAGACGCGACCAATATCCAACATTCAACATACAACCATCAACAACCAAAAAAAAAGTAAACAAAAAAGTAAACAAAAAAGAAAAGAAAACCCACCGGCGAAACAAGGGCCCTCCCAGCCAGCGCCCCCGAAAGCAAGGAAGCGCACAAAAGCGACCTCATAACGATAAGTTAGGGCAAATAAAAATAACTGAAGCTAAAAACCAATCCCAAATCCAAGGAATGATTGAATCCGCAACCCTAATGGAAATGGAAAGCAATTCCCCCGGGGTCCCCAGTCTACTTTAAATATCTTTTCCAGCAGCACCCCCCAATCGCGACTGCCCTTTTAATTTCCCACCTTTGTCAATCTCTCCCCCGTCAATGCAACTCCAAGTCTCTCAACGCCATCCGGCGACAAAAGCACGCATCGCATCGTGAGGGGTCAAGCGGCCAAGACCTTGGCAGAGATAAGAGTCGGACAGGAACGAGCCAAGTTGAGGGGCATGCCGACGGTCCACGCCGGAGGAGAAGACTTGGGTTGCACTGGCCAAGCCGTGGCATGGTTGAAATGAGTACGAGGGGGTTTCGCCGCGGAAGTGAATCTTTTGATTACTCGGCTTGGCTGAACGGCTATCCTTGCTTTTTTGAGATTGGCATCGGCGGGTGGCAGGCGTTCTATTGGTTTCTGGGGGGATGAGGCGAGGAGGTCGCCTCCCACTAGTACAGGTTGGTGGTTTTGTTTCTTGTCTTGTCGGCATGCTGGGGTTTCCTTTTGGGTTTAGGTTAGAGTTGTGGGGGAGGAATCATGTATGTAAGATGGATGCATGGATGTAGTAGTGGCGAGGGTCTGGGCGGGTCTTTTTTCTTCGGGTTCATTTATTTTATCAAACTGTACATATTGAGGAGGGTGGATATGGGCAAATGAGGAATGCTTCAACCCATCCCGGCTGCATATGTGGGTTACTCAACTTCCTCTCCTTGTCGGTATCTCCAGCATCACCCGGTACTGAGACATCCCACCAGCTGGCAATATCCTTTTAACCAATAAACAAGACAACATTTCAAAACACACAATACAGTCTCGGAGTAAGATATCTATCGAACCAGAACCCCACACACCACCTTTCTCCAAACTCTCAATCCACATCCACGAACCCGAAAAGAAGCAGGTGTCGTCGCAAGAGACTTAAGCGTGCATCACCCTAGCAAGGATCGCCAGATCTAACAGAAAGAGTCTATTCATCTCCAAGGGTCCTCGCTGATCGGCAGGGGAACCTGGTTCGCCAAGATATGAAGGTATATTGAGGCATAGTGTTTATTATCTACAAACTGGGTTTGACTCGGGGGGAGGGCTTCCAGTGCAGTGTGTTCTGTTTTTTTGCGGTGAAATGGTGTTTTCATTTACTGAGTAGATCTCATTATTTCTCGGTGTACTCCGTAAAGGAGGGTAGATTGCCATGATATGCAGTTCGAATCAAAAATGAACAATCATGTCATGTCCCTGATCTAAACCACGGACATAAACCCCCCGAAAGAAAAACAGCCCCCCAGTTGGACATCACCCCATCAATGCGCAAACCGGAAATCCAGCCTCTTACTCCCCGTATCAGTCGTGTTATTCAAATAATCCTGTCGTTGCTATACCACCATTAGTAACAGTTCCACAACCAAAAAAGAAAAATGCAGAAAGAATCTCACCTCCTCAGTCATACTATTCCACACCCTTTCCCGGTACCGATTCCTCAACACATAGTACACCTTGGTCGCGATGAAAAGCAGAATGCCCAGGAGATTCAGGGCCAAGAGGATGGCGTTACCCCGGCGGTACTTCGGCTTGTCGTCTGCTCGGTAGACGTTGTTGCCGATGATGTTGCCTAGTTGGACGCACACTTTTTGTGTCTCAATTAGTATCGATGTCATATATGTATTTCGTCTGGGAGAGGGTAAGAGAAAGGTCAGGGGGGAAGGAAACTCACTATTATATAGTGCCGCCGAAACAGTCCTGGTGCCTACGTTGTTGGAATTCTTCGACGCCCAGCCCACAACGATCGCATGGCAATAAGGGTAAGAAAGCAATACCGTGACAACGGCATACGTCCCCCATGCGTTCTCCATGGTCCCGGGCCAGAAACGCAAAGCCACGATGCAGGGTAGCGTCCACACCAATTGGAGCATGGAGGTAAGGGAGCGCTCATTGAGATAGCCGCTGAGTCTAGTCAGGGCGAGCAGCAGGATGATGTGGCCTACGCTATTGGGGATCGTGAGGAGGTTTGTTACGAACTATTTCACTGTGTTAGGTTTTAACTTCGATGGGTATAGCAGGGGACGCACGGTGTTAAACCCGAGATCCTTTAGGGTCAGAGTGATGTAGGACTTCACGGGTACCATCGGGGTATAGGCGATCAGGCCGATGAGGTAGATGGGCCAGAGATCGTAGTCACAAAGGGCATTCCAGAGGCGGCGGGGAGTGATTGCTTGGCGGTTGTGCATGTCTCCTGTTCCACTGTGAGTTGTGGGCTAGGGTTTGCGTGTAAGGAGGTTTACCTTTTGAGGGGTCGTCTCGAAGGACGCGGTTGACGATGATGCGCACTTCGCGGTCTGTGAACCAGCCATTTGGTCGGAACCATTTCTTCGTCTCGACTGCTGAGGCGGGCATTCGGAAGAATGAGGCCAGTCCGATGAGGAGGGTTATTAGGCCTTCAATTAGGAAAAGCCATCTAAATAGGTTAGTATCCGTTTGTCGGTGCAGGGAACAGTACTGACCTCCATCCAGCCCATCCAAGTACGCCGCGCATGTGGAGGATGCCGAATGCCATGAATGATGTGACGATCGTTGTCACGGACAGGGCGGTCCAGAAAATACTATCTCTCGTTAGACACTCAATCTAAAACTGGCAAAGGGCTGTACCTGAGCCGAGTCGGGAGTTCTTTGCTCGTATAGAAGTACGACAACCAGAGGACGATATCCGGGATGAATCCACCCTGTAGTCGTGTGAGCTTAAACACTTCATATGGCAGTGGAACATACCTCTAGAATCCCTAGGAGTGCCCGCGTCGCATAGAATGAAGACCTCCCCGTCAGACCAGCTTGACAGGTGGCTACTATAGACCACAGGGAAATCTGCATAGGAATCCATCGATCGGGGCCGATCTTCTTAGATACCAACTGAGAGGGCAGCTCAGCGAGGAGGAATGAGATATAGAATATAGTATTCCCCGTGTTATAGTCTGCATATTGTTTCAATTAGACGGCGATCTCTTCATAATTCCACGGGAAACATACCATTCGAAGAAAGATTGAGATCATCCAGCAAATTATCGGACACAGCCTGAACCAAATTCCCGCGGTCGACCTGCAACCCGAAAAACATCACACACTATACCAACCATCAGTCATAATGAAACAGCCAAAACATGTGAAAGACCTACAGCCCACAGACAAACCCTCCAATCCAACTTGCGCACCAGCGCCCTCTCCTCCTCCGGAGTCCAAGTCAACGTCGGATCAAACACATGTCGACATTCATACTGCGCCTTCTCATAGATCAAGGCATATCGCTCCGCGACCTCCGGATCAGCGAAGGGATTATTCGCTTGAGGATCCGTGGACTCCTCATACGGCTGTGTCTCCACCTGATAGGTACCCTTGGGGTCGGTCGCTGGTTCGGTGTAGTAGTGCCCGCTGTGATCGTCGACCAGCTTCTGGGTGACTCCCTTGTTGGTGGCCATGGTAGGACTCAAGCTCTCAAAGCATGTTCTGGGCATTCTTGTCGTTCTGGGCAGCCGAGCACATTGTTATATATGGAGTGGGGGACTGGGGAGCCATGTCTTGGGGTTTGGCACGCCATATGCCGGTACTGTTGCGTGTAGATAAGATCTGCTGCCGGTTGATTTTATTTTTCTTGTTTCGTGGCCAGTTGTCGTTCAGTTTGGAAATATACTAGTTTGTGCCAAGAGGTTTATGCATGTCTTGATAGGATGGTAAGGTGGTTTGTTGTAGGTATCCGCGATGATTAAGGTGCAGTTTCGTTGCTGGTCAGTAATTAGTTGGTATTATTTGACAAATGAGTCTATCATGGTTATGGTTAGGTTCAGAATTAACAAAACCAATTATTGTCCTCCAAGGAGAGGATATTCAGATTGTTGATCAAGTGCCGGAATGGCATCATCGTCCCTCAGGATTTGATCAACTTGGCGTGGGCTTGCGTGACCTTTTGGCACGTTGGCGACATTGGAGTGTCAGAACTCTGATTTGCATGTCATATTTCAGTTTTCCAAGTCAATTTTGCAATAATAATGCAATGTCTCATCAGGTATCGTGCTATTGTACAAACCACGGATATGTGGAAAAACTGCGACGAAGCTAAGCTTCTAGCACAAGTATTGGCAACGAAAAAGATTCTAGCCCGAACGCCCTCGCTTTCGCTCACTAGAACTAACAGACATATTAAAGAGCATAACCTCCAAACTCCCGCTTGAGAACACTAAGAAAACCAAATAAAAGAAACCATGGAAGAGCCGCCTAGTAATTATCGCATGTGCACTTGGAATAGATACTTCTGGCGGATCTGAGCGACGTCGTACACAATGTATTCGTTGTACATCAGTGACTGGGCGTTGGCGCTCTTCGATGAGGCAGAGACATCCGGCATTCTCACCCCTTGCAGCTGCGAATTGACACTCCCAGCATCCTTCCAAGCTGCCGGGACAGTTCTACCCTTACCGAGAGTCGCAATCTTGCCGCCCTTTTTGGCATCTTCCCCAGCATTGTAGTTGCTGTGGTCCAATTCAAGCATGGGGTCTCCGAGTTCAACATCGCAAAGCAGAAGTAAAGCCATACCACCGCTGTTGTAGGAGCAGCAGTAGTTGGCGGATTTGCTGGACATGTCCGCGAAGTAGACACCTTTGCCAAACATGTATCCGCTCACAGGGGCTTCCGGCGGCGCAATGCGCAGACCCTGGCTCAAGATACCACCGAAATTAGTGCTACGGGATCCATGCCACAAGAGACGGCGGTCGCTGTTCTTGATTTTCCCATATTGGGAAGAATGGAATCGATCATTTTCACCATCACGCTCAATGCGGAAAATATTGACGACCTACATCTAGTCAGTACTGTAGCATCGCGACAAAAAAGGCCAAACTCACGTTATAGCGGAAATGATGAGTAGAGGCGCGCGACTGGTTGAGGTAATTCTCCAGCTCAATGAATTCGGTAGAAGAGTGGTCCACTGTTGCGCATTAGTAAAGGTTTGGCCATATTCTAGGGAACTCGTCTAGGCAGATGAGTGAAGGAGGGACGTACAAGGAGTCATCTCTTGCAATTTTAAGCTCTGGAACTGACGGTCCAACTGGTGGATCGTGTCGGCATCCTTCGACTCTTTCATGATACCGTTTGCAACTTCCATATCTGTCAAGGCCTCAAGAAGCTCAATCTCCTTTTTAATATGCTGGTCGGAATTCAACACGGGAGGTCGGTTACGACCGAACACGTGAGGGATAGTAGTAAAGTATTGGTTGCTGAGGTCCTCCGCAGCTGCATTGAAGGATGTGCCATATTCAGTGGCTGCCAGATTGGGATCCGCGATGAGCTCGGAGAGTTCCTTCAGCTTCAAGAAACCCCGCCTCAGAGTTCCCTTGCTCAGCTTTCCAAGTGGCAACTTCTTAGCGTCGTAGTCCATAGAAGCCATTGTATTCATGAAATGGTTCGGATTAAAAATGAAAGACATGAGATCCTGGACCTCTTCAGGCAGCTCACTCTTCACGGTTGGCTTCTCTTCGTCGCTCTTTTTGGCTGTGCCCTGATCTTCATCATTTTCTTCATCAGAGTCCTCTTCGTAGTTGCGCTCGATGAAAGTGTATTTGCCCTTCTTTGGGGGGTCCAGTCTGTTATCCCAGGGTAGACCCGATTTGTCTTTGAATTTCTTTTGGAAATGAATCTGTGCCTCAGAAAGATCACCACCTCCCAGAAGACTATGTTGGCCAGTCTCGCCCACTCGGCCCCATCGGGTCCAGGCTTTGAAGTTAGTTCCAGATCTGTCAACCAACAGTTGGATGCGGTAGAATTTGTTGGCGTTATTGGCAGAAACAGTCTGGTTGAGAGTGGCATCCCAAATCAGCCCTGCTGGGTCAATGTACACTGAAAAGCCTATCACCAAAACCGTTAGCGCTTTGTGGGCGTGGGGTACATATATACAGCGGCAGGATAGCTACCTGAGAGATAACAGCCCTCGTCAACCGGAACATTCAAAGTCTTAGATCCCAGTTTCTGTGCATCTTTGGGCTTTTTATTCGAGCTGTCCTCACTGACATCCAGTACTTCTTCGAGTGTACGTTTCTTTTTCTCTTTTTTGTCGGTTTCTTCGTCGTCCTTTTTATCATCTGCCTTTGCATCCTTCTTGCTGAGCAAGTAAGGCTTCTCAGGGATTGGTTTCTTTGCGTCTATAGACTCCACCAGCCAATCGATGGAGACAATATTGCAATTGTAGACATTGCAAGCTTGTCTGTCTGTGTAAATTATAATCAGCCGAGATGCCAAGGATAATGATCGAGAAACATCCGTGCGATTGGAGCAGAATGGACAGTAAATCAAGAACATAAGGGAGTCTGACGAGGCACTTACATTTGGAATTGTTGTTATCCACCTCTCTCTGGCTGGTCACCAGATGTGTGCAGTCACCTGTCACAGTAGTGCTGAATTTTGCACCCTGATCTTCCACGAGCTTCTTCACATCCGCTGTAACCCAAAATAGCATCGGTTAGCTCGATGCTCTCAACACTCTGCGTCGAAAGGAAACCTGCCTTGCTTATAGCCAGAAAAGCCCCCAGCAACAACGACAACAACGTCTTTGAATAAATTCTTCTTTGGCGGCATGGTTCCAATTAAGTCTAGGAATGGATAATACGAGGTGATGGTAAAATCCGAGGTGAAAGAAACAAATGATGTAATAGAGCGATAATGAGTCCGTTGCTTGATGGTGTAAAAGTATGGTAATGGGATGGAGAAAGAGAACTGCGGTCTGATGTGATAGGGAATGGCTGATGTAAAGAAGAACAATGAAAGAGATGCAAGGGTAAGGGAAATTGACTTGATTGAGAGATGACTTTGGCAGAGTGAAGAAGCGATACTTATCCAATCTCTAGGGGTCCTGCGACGGCCTGGTAGCCTTAGCCAACAGGCCACTAATGGCGGCTGCTGCCTTGTGGCCGACGGATCTGAATTTTTATTGGCAGCGGCAACCCCAGGTCTCAGGCACCAGCCCCACAGCAGTTCCGACTGCCTGGAACTTTCCCCAAATCGATCGTGGTTCTTATCGAGATTGATGAGGACCTACTCCAGAGTCCAATGGGGGTCAGAAAGTATTTGAACCTCAGTACTTCCTCGGGTTCACCGCTTCAGGCTCTTTGTTAGTAACTCTTTGTTAGTAAAACTACAATTGCCTGTTTTATTTGTATGTGGTTACATCAGGCGGTCAAAGGCCCTTGATATAGGGGTCAAATACTTTCATCGTACCCCCTTTGTGCCTCAAACACGCGGCACGACAGATTAATATATCGCATATCTTTGTACGACTCATATCCTTGTCCTCGGTTCCTGTAATGTTCGTGGCGAGTAACTCGCAACATGAAGAGAGCGGAAATATATATTATTCACAGCACACCGGCGGAACAACACTATAAAACACCTACAATTTCCAGTACAGTATAAGGGTCTAGTTAGTAATTCCATATTTCTTCAATTGGTATATAACTCTGAGTCAAACCTACTTAAACTGCACTACAACCTTTGTTCACTGCTAGGACATATAGTATCTACTTGGTTTTCGTTTGAGCTCAACAAAACAACTTAGCAAACACAGAGTTCATCGTATGTCTAGAATATGCAGGGTATAATTAAGCTTAATGGAAGTAGTCTAGAGTTCTTATTATATTCAGAAGGAATGAAGGGATGAGACCACGAATTGCTGACGTCAATCTTCCAGATATTCAAATTGCATCCTCCAAGCCCAAACCGAGGCCAACAGACCATCAGTCGGAAAAGCGGTGCGGGGGGATAAGGGGATCGGAAGTGCGATCCCCAGGACTTCCGATCGACAAACATGTCAAACAAACCAAACTTCAGCACTATGTCAAATGTCCTTAGTTCATTCGCCAACGAACCGCAGCCTGAATTGTGGATGGGGGATCAATAGCAGTGGAGCCAATCAATTCCACCCACGACTTGGAGACATCCTTTGCAGTGTTTGCTTTTACTTCTACACAGTTTGTTAAGGATTAATAGTATGATAGGTAAAATTTTAATAAAAGAGAGAGAATGGTCAAATGGCTTGAAATGAATTTTATCGTGTACTGGTAGGCCTCTCAAGTATCCTTTGATTTGTGTCTCTACCCTCACTAGTGCAATCAGCCAAGAACAATCAATCAATCAATCATGCTCTTCTACGATACAGCTCTCCTACCTTATAGCCCGATTGAAACCTTGTTAAATCCTTTATCCTCCATATGGCGCTGGCTGTTTCCTACAAGTTTATCACAGCGCGAATGTGATCAGATAACCAAAACCGAATCAGCTACAGTAACATCAAAAGAGGAATGACCTGGCTTGAACAATGGCATCTTAACATGGAGCCAATATGTACATCTGTGAGTCATGCTACCAATACCGCAGTCAACTTACCACTGGGCTAATTATATGTTTTTTATAGACGCCTTTTTCCTGGAACTAGATTCATGGCAATCTGTATTTTGTATATGAAGTAGTAGTCAGCAATCACTCCCAACTAAGGTCTGAAAGAGAGAGAACTATGCCAAATCCGAAGTTTCTAACTGTTGCTTCAAGCTTTGACGTCGCCTGTGCTTTCAATATCTCTTGAAATCATCTACCCATGGCTGTACATATATCACTGAACAAAAACTAGATGCGGAATGATAGATACACTTCCAAACGATCGCTCCAACAAGACACCGAAAATGCAGGGTTAGTAAAAACAATTCTAAACTCTATATCGAGGCCTTGGTCACGCTAGACAGCCTTTTCTCTAAACACTTCGTGGCATCTGCACACATCTGAGGAATGTCCACATTGCCAATAACGCCGTTCCGATAATTGATCGCTTCCTCAATCTTCTTGAAATCGCTCCCGACCCCCTCGGCTCGCCATTCGTAGCTATCTCCGATGAACCGGCTGCTTTGGACAAGCCACTGGGACCGTTCCCGTCGACTGATATCATATGCAGCAAGAACAGCTTCTAGATCCTTGTGCGTTTGGACCCGTTCATCCGCTAGCAACGTAGCAAGGACGGCAGTGTCTTCGAGACAGAAGCCAGCTCCGGCACCGTGGTGGGGTGATGTAGCGTGCGCAGCATCGCCGGATATTGCGACCCGGCCTTTGTAGAATGTAGGAACCGGGTTTTCTCCAAGGTCAAAGATAGCCCACTAAAGGTTATGATTAGTATATACACGACTGCTTTCTAGATGCAGTACAAACTTACCACGCTGAGCTCTGCGTCTGTCAACTCCAGCAGATTAATGACATTCGGCCCATATCCGGCAAAGTCACGGAGCGCCTCCTCTCGTGTGCCTTGTCGCGTTAATCGGGGATAATCGGCCCATTCCTCCGGAGTCGTATGGAACGCAACAATGTTGAGGGTTTTCCCTTGGTTTACAGGGAAGGTCAGCATATGACCACCGGGGCCCATCTGTCACGTCATCAGTATAACAGCGCATCTGGAGAAAGCATGTTCATTGAGGATGTCTTACATGCATACAGGCATTGGAAGCTAATTCCTCTCCAATCGCCTCGATCGCCTTTTCCATCGGGACCAGCCCGCGATAAGCGTATTTGTGGGTATACGACGGCTTAGCAGAGGGATGATCTGCTCCCAGAATCACCTGTCGCACCTGAGACTTGATACCGTCACAGCCAATAACCAGATCGGCTTCATCTTGCGTCCCATCAGCAAATTTCAAAAGAATTTTCCCGTCGGTCTCCCGCTCGACAATGCTTTCAAGTCGTTTATTGAACCGCGCGATATCACTAGGGATCAGTTGAATTAATTCGTCGAGGAAGTGAGCGCGGTGAACACCAGTTTGGCCGAGGCTGTTGGAGATAGTGAATGCAATATCTTGGCGACTGGCATTTTTCGCTGTCGTCGAGGTACCCTTGTTATATCCGTCTAGATAATCGAACCACACTTTTTGTTTCGACGGCCACAGATTCTTTGTGCAGACCTTTTCGAATGCTTCGTGAATACCCGAATGGCAAGCTTTCATTGCCTCAACTGCATTTGGGCCAAACGAGACACCTGCGCCGACTTCACCGAAGGCTTCGGCCTGCTCGTAGATGGTGATGGGGATATTTCGGTGGTAGAGGGCAATGGCGAGGGATAGGCCGGCAATGCCGCCGCCGACGACAGCGACATGAAAGTTCTTTCGTTGTGAACACATCGGGGAGAGGGTTGTGTCTGAAATCTAATGATTCGAGCAGTAAATTGGAAGAACTCAAACACTTAAAGCGTTGTTGAGCAAAAATTCGCAAAGGTGCGAGGCTTCCCTTTTCTATCATGCATCACGCACACCGCATCCCATATCGACCAAGCATATCGGAACTTGCGAACGACATCGGCTCTGGGGTAAGGTCCTTCGGATGGTATCGAGACCCGCCTATTCGACCCCCGTGGGGCATCGGCTTGGCAATGGGGGTGCATATTATAGGCTTTGAAACTGCCGAGCTATGTGCCGGCGAATCTTAGTTGTTTGAGTTATTGTTGATAGCACGGCTATCTCGGAGCTAGTTGGCGCCTCGATATTGAATCGTGGACATCTCTGATCGGCTGATTATGTACATGATCTTCCGCGATGTGGTATATCACCGGATGGTCTTGTGTGCCAAGGTGTGTATACTGATGTAAAAGGCTGCCAACTCTTCGTTTTGATTATACAGCCGATATACAAAATTGAACTTCCGACTCCTCTCTCCGGTTATTTTACTTCCCTCCTAGAACGTAAGTAGTGCACAGCCTTGTGCTCCTGGCTGAACAGCACTGGCAATCAAGGTGACGTGGAGTGTGGAGATCTGGAATGGATCCCACCCGACCTTGTAGGTTATAGGAAGAAACGGCCTCCGAGATACAGTATCAGATAAAACTGGCCCATTGACAGAAGCTCAAGTATAGTTTGCTCTTGTTTCTGCCAATGAGTGAAGGACATCCAGGTATCCACCGAGGACTACTATGGAAGTTCAGAGATTAAGGGTGTATTTACGCAGCAAGGTTGAGCTTTAAGTGAAACCAGCTTTAAGGGTACCGGTGGACATGATGAAATTCATGCTGTGATGTCCCTTTTAGCGAAGTTGACGCAGATTACGGACTTCGAGCCATTCATAGAGTGATTCGCGAACGACCCCTCGCGTCGTTAGACAATGCAACGCAACCTGACTTCACATAGACCGGAGTTGGCCTTGATCTACCTCGAGTCTCCGGGTATGTGACTTGGTCGCATATTCAGGTGACTTGGTTCGTGCAGCTTCCAGTGATGAGCAGAATAAAATGAGGTCATTCGCGCAATGCCCAGACATGGGGGAAGTCATTCGTAGGTAGATTAACTTTGCGGGGAAGCTGCCCTCGAGAAATAAAAGGAGTTGTTCGGAAGAGGACGACGGCGAAATCCACCACTACCTGAATCGCTCCCGAGTCTTCACGATGTTGATTGAATACTGATGCCTAAACGGTAAGACTTGAATCCTGAATACACAGGCCGGCAAAATACTGGGGACCGCTGAATCAGGATAACTAGGAGAACAACCGGTGAACATCGGGCCAAGGAATGGCCTTATCCGACTCATTGTTTCTCGGTGTGAATTGGTCCGTGTTGATATGTGGTGGGGTTCCGGGTTCGATGTCACTTTAGGGAAAGAACTTACTATATGGAGTCGAGATCCATAATTATTCCTCATATAGAACTAAGTTTGGAGGAACATAGCAGAAGTGTGTACGCCGGAGTAGTGATATACGGCGTAGCTCCTGTGGGGTCTCGATCTAGTCTTCTTAGTCGAGTCTCGGTGATGGACCGTTGTACTATCTATAGATATGGTCTATTCAAGACTCTGCATACTATATGCTGTACTTTAAGCTCTTTGCAGGATGAGTACGGAGTACTAATGTTCGCCATTCTGCGATCTATTCAGACCAGATTCCCATGAGCCCCCTTGTAAAGCCTCTGTATCGGTGGTGCATCTTGGAACCGGCTAACAAGTGCCGACCAAAAGAAACAACTCCAATTTCAGTGGGGGAATTTTCACTCAAGCCGCGTTTTACTTCTCTTTCCATTGGTTACCATGTATCACTCACACCCCCGCATCCACCAATCATAATGCTTTTATTGCATGCAATGTGCCCGAAAGGGAAATTAACTGCAGTGGCCCATGACCCATTGCAAGAACCCAAAAACAAATTAAAAAAAAAAAAAGAAATGAAAAAAAAAGAGACGCAGGCAGCTTGACGCCCCATGCAGGTGTCCTCGCCCGGACTTTGGCTGCCGTGCAGGTTGCATGACGAGACATTACTCCTGATTACCAGTACTAATAATCGCTCCTCGTATGGAAAAAAAAAATACTACTAAGAATCAAGGATTCATTCTGCAAGCTGTTCTTTTTGCATTGGGGAAAATGCAAGGAAGGTAAAAGGATCATGTTTTAGAAAACTCTTTTTCTCGATTTCTTTCTTTGGTGTGTCGTATACTATCTCAAGTATCTAGCAAAGATGTCTGGATGTTCCATGCTCCAGGTCCAAACTAGACGGGATGGTTGCCTGCTAATTATGGACGTTGGCTCCACTCGATAGGTACTTGAACGAATGTCAACCTCCTATTTGATGAGAAAATTTTCAATCGGTCAGCCATGTGGGTATAGTATGAAACTTTGCATTTTCCAGAACAATCACAATCCCTGTCCCTTAGGGCAATAGTTAAGGTACGACGTACCTATAGACTAGTATGGGTGTCCTCCAGCCTACCAAGGAAGTCGTCCGAATAGAATCCCTCAATTGGTACAGCTAGTGCATCCTTCGGGTCGTCTGCATCGTCCGTCGTTGTTCCCTTCCGGGGCAATGCGTAGTATGTATTGGAAATAAAAACCAGGCTACAATTTTCAAGGTCACCGCATGTCTTAGCGCACTAAAGAGGAAATGCTTCCAGGTAGGGGTCAACCTCCAAGTCTTCTGAAGATCCGAACTCACGGACGGGAATAAACGGCGTCTTCTTCGCTTAAGTAAATTGGGCACCAACCCCTCCACTCCGTGTGGGAGGGAGGATAGTGTGCACTCAGGAGTACACTAGTCGTTGAGGGTTATGGAGAACTTATCGATTGATTAGGACTGTGAAGGTGGATTTACTCTCTCTCCGAGGTCCCTTGTGTTGCTTTTTTGTGCCACTTCGAACCCATGGAATGTCCTATACGCCTCATCCTTCTAAGGCAAAAAAACCCTTTGATCGCCACGTTCTCGAAGCATCAATGGAAGGCAAAGATAAAAATAAAAAAACTTTGCAAAATTCTTCCACTTGTTTTATTTTTGCTAATTTTCTATTTTTTGGTCGTGTTTCTTTCTTTCTTTCTTTCTTTTTTTTTTTTTTTTTCTTTTGAGGGCTCCTGTTTCAACACCGGCCCCACTCGGACGGGAATAAGGAACTGGAGTGGCGGCACCGCTACTTTGGCTAAGTGGGAATGTCGCCACCGACTTAAACCTGATCTGTGATAGCCCGACGGAGCACCAGAAAACCTGTGAAAGCTCGAGCTTTGAGCTCTGGGCCGGGTTGCATGGGAAGCTCAACATTCGGAGCTGGGGAGAGCTGGAGAGGTGGGAGGGGTCAGGAGGGGTAGGTTGCACATGGTCGCCTTTTAGCGCGCCTCGTAACATGGCCGATTCAGCTAGTAGTAAACTATCCTTTAGAAAAAAAAAAACCCTGGTTTAACTAGTCGTAGGAGTATCATCCGATATGCTCAGTTTTATTCCATTAGATAAGTCTGGTCATAGTCTGAGAATTTCTTTACTCGAAGTGTGAGCATTTCTCGAGGGCTTGAAACTTGGCAAAAATCCCCCTTATGCTTACCTGCAGCTGTCGCAAACCTCCAGAGAGGGGAAGCGGTCCCACCGGCCTTTCCGAAATGCTGGTCACTGATACTGTACTGAGTGTCGGTATGTATGATACGGTAACGATGGCATCTGTTCAATTCCCACATGCCCATATTTTCCATGTCCCAGTATTGAGGTTCAAACGGGGACCTGAAAGCGCAAATCCCCTCAAGGTAGGTTAGTGGGGGGACGCAAGAGCCCTGGATGCGAAACACTTCAATATTGCCTCGTATAGTAGAGTTGAACCCTTCACAAGGATGATCATCATTTGCCCGAGTGATTGAATTACTCGGTGAGTTCAGATTGGTGCACACCTCTCAGAAAAATTTCTTACCGTACGGTCATGTCACCCGAGGTATAATGGAGTCACTCTACACTAAAGTTTTGAGCAGGAAATGCGAGTGTCATTGATTTTTGGACCGTCCTACGCCGTACGACCATTAGTACTTCCGTGTACAAGTAGACAGTGTCTTCAATGCATGCCAGGACCGGCTACCATTTGTATGAGATCATATCATATCATCCACTCTTCTCGATTAGAGGAATGCAGGCTCGGGAGGCTACATTACAATAAAACAAGAGCATACCAAAAATGGAACCGTGTCTCTGGGCGGCTATGCCGGCGATCAAAATCTTTTTACTGTGTTCTTTTTGTTTTTCTGCCTTTTCCTATTTCTGTTTTTGAACTAGTAATACCAGGTTGGCTCTATTGTTGAAGGTTCCAATGTACAGGAGGGCTCATGTTGTACCACGCGATAAGCCCCAAGGGATAATCATATCGGTCAAGGGATATGCTTATCGGCAGGTGCTACGGTGGTAGCTATCGATAGATGCGAGATTATAACTCCGTAAGCTTATGTTTCAACGCCCACCGAATCATGTAAATGATATATCGATACCAACATGTGAGGTTCGCAATCAGACGACAAACCCATAGGAAGAACAACTATGGTAGTAACTTTTTTGTCATTTTCCCTGGTACGAGGTGGTATTTACCATGTCACAAACCTTGGTTGTGCAGGCTGGAATTATTCCCATGAATGGGGTTTTTATTACCCTGAGTTCTTTTCATATAATTTGGTTTCCCTTTATGTATCTGGATGCGACGGGCAAGTCTTTGATGAAAAGGCCGCACCGCAATGTCGATTCACCATGAAAGATCATTCCTTTGTTCGTTCTTGGTCGTTTCTCATAGCTGAATCTTTCAGTCCATTTGCCTCCTGCATAACCGGTTGTAAGGCCACGCGGTCGGCGGTTCCCGGGGGCTGAGGGCCTCCATCCCTTAGAGGTTTAGTGAGGTATCCATACCCAGTAATTAATAAAATTTACACGCAATACCAATGGGTGACCATTTAAAAGCAAAGGAGCTAAGCTGCGGTATCTACTGCTTTTTTTTCGCCCACCCACACAAGATACTGGACTGGAGACTTTTGTCTGTTTGGCTTCATATATTTTTCTTGTGCTTGCTCCTTTTTTTTTTTTTTTTTTTTTTTTTTTTTTTTTTTTTTTTTTTTTTTTTTTTTTTTTTTTTTTTTTTTTTTTTTTTTTTTTTTTTTTTTTTT